AAAAATGACAGGATGCTCTGGGGTGAATTGAATAAGAGACTTGAACGTCCTAGGATAGAGCCCTTGACGATCACACGGCTCACGCTGGGAAAGGAATCTGAGCATTAAGATCATTCGAGGCTACTTCGTGTAACACTTGAGAATGCTATCGATGTGGAGGATATCCTGCTAGCTAGTCATCTACTGAAATCCGATGGGAACGTAAGAATATCGCCTGGCATAAGGTATTGTGGGCGCAGTCTCATCCGGAACATCCCTAGAGAATCTCGCGCGAAGTTTTTCCGCGGAACAAGTGTTATATAATATAATTTAACGTCGGTCGCCAACTGGAATTCATATGCACCTGGATAGGCCACATGACGACAGGACCAAGCACAAAGGTAACTTGGAGCTGACCATTCCACTCGTGGACTGTCTTGACCATAAAAAAAACGTGTAAAGGACAGGGCCTTGCAACTCGGCATAACTTATATAGGTAGGCTACCTGTCCATTCACGTAAGGCTCACACAGGCAAACAGGAAGAAGGTCACACGTTTCAAATTGAAGACATAAACTGCTTATACATGAACGCCGCGAGTCTACCAAACAAAGTGGATGAGTTACGTGAATTTGACAATGCTAACAAGGCTCATCTAATAGGAAAATCTGAAACTTGGATATCTTCTCTGTTTACGGACCAGGAGCTAGCAACACCTGGGATGTCTTCGTTTCGCAACGACAGAAAAACAGGAATCGGGAGCGGACAAGCCATTTATATACGATCCTAATTGGAGGTACACTAAGTTCACAACCATGAGTCTAACAATCTTGATGAATCTGTATGGTGCACTGTAAGATTGTCTACTACTTCGAGGTGCCTAGTCGGGGTCATCTATAGGAAGCTCACTGCCAATATTGAGTATGACAGTCGTATGCTGGAAGGAATATCCCGCACTTCGCGTCTCGGTTTCATTCATATCCTGATTCTAGGGAACGTCGATATCCATAGGGTCAATTTCGCGGAATATACGTATGCTGGAGGTGAAAACTCAACTGAAGCTCGGTTCTTCAACCTCATTGAGGATTTGGGATTATGTAGATGTAAACATTTCTCCCTGGAAATTTTATGGCGCCATCAGCCAGAGAACAAATAAATACTTTTTACTAAATAATATGTGGTCGCACCCTTTTTCAATATATGAAGCTCAAAACAATTGTCATCCAATATAAAATTCAGAATCTTCAACACGAACGTCGAGACATTTCCACTGTACGGAGATAAAACTTGGACTACTACAACCATCATCAAAAAGATACAAGTATTTATAAACAATTGTCTACTCAAGATACTGAATGTCGTTTGACCGGATACCTCGAGCAACAGCCTACTGTGGGAAAGAATAAACCAGCTTCGAACTGAAGAGGAAGTTGGGGAGATACGCTGGAAGTGGATAGGACATGCATTACAGAAATCACCCAACTGCATCACGAGGCAAGCGCTTGCTTGGAATCTCGAAAGGAAACAGGAAAGAGGAAGGGTAAAGAGCACTGCACCGGGAATCGGAAGCAGACATGAAAATAATGAGGAGCAACTAGAAGCAAATAGAAGGTATGGCCCGGGACAGAGTTGGATGGAGAATGATGCTGGTCGACCTTTTGCTCCTCTGCGTGAGATAACGGGTGTAAGTAAGTCGCGATTCCAACATTTCATGATTCACAATCCTTTTTACAGACTTAGAAATAACTTTTATACACTAGAAACTGTAAAACACCACAAACAAATGATTTGTTGGTTTTTTAAAGTATGTTCTAGCTTATTGTGTAACAGGCTGTCATTACCTGTTCATGACTGCGACATCAAAACCAAGTTAAAAACTAATCGCACAGTTTTTCGATTTGAAATGGCCTTATGAACTATAAGCACAACTCCCACACAACTCCGATACATTTTCTATGAACACCCAACCATCTAGACTTATGGTAAGAAACCACTATTCGATCACGTTTGTATTATAAAATGACAAATCACATGATCCTCCCCCCAACTAACCCTGATCCACTTACACTGGTAACTAACTAAGGAGCACTTACGTATACCTATAGTACTGCTAGAACTCGTGTCAGTAAATAGATATGAAAGGACAGTACAAGGCTGAAACTGAAATTACTACTATCTACAATCTGTGATGAACCCAGGCTTTCCATTAACGATTTTCAAATTTTTGTAAGTGACGCTTTTTTGGGAAAACATAACTCACTGTCTACTCAGTTACATTTAGTTGTATTTTCTGAGTCAGTAGACTTTGAAAGTAAACTTCCACATTTCACTGTACGACGCCGATCCGCATTGTCATGGACGTTTTATTTTTCTCATATGTGACTCAAAAGGAAAATCAAAGGATGAATCTTAGCATCCCTGTTGAATGATATATCGACTATCTGTTTTAAATAAATTACGTATCCTAATGAAAATTTACTAAGAATAATGCGCACCTTGTTCGAGAACACTATGCAGAACTCAGAATGAGAAATTAAGCAGATCGGTAAGGATAGATGGGAAAAATTTCCGTGGAGTTTAAATGTTAAACTATCGCGCAAACTACAGGACTTAAGAATAAACAGAACGACCTACGTTTCGTCGTCTTTTTAACAGAAACTTCATAGAGTGAACGTCATTTCTTTCGGAAGCCACGGGGCAAATGTTGTCTACAACATCTTAGAGATACACTTGTTGGTGAGAAAAAACATGGATCCACTCAGTTTGATCGCAGGCTGACTAGAGCATTAAATTAAGTTTTTTGGTTACACCTAAATATATGAAGTGCATCGTCTCTGATGACAGCACTTTTATGAAAATATAGTCAGGTTTTCGAATCAACTCTTCTCGGGACAACGAATACTTTGTAACTGACTATGAAACGTGACTTCACTTCTTGAGTCATGTTCCTCATAGGGAAAAGTCATCCGCCTACTGAAGTGGATTCCTAAAACCTCATGTTTTTCACAACTTGCTGTACTGTTGTATCCAACAGCATACCCGACGCTGCTGCGACTAGGAGTGCCACGAGTGACATACTAATGACGCTGTTAGAGTCACCTGACGCTTGTCAGCGTTAAGACCTTCTGTCGACAACTGGACCGTTTCTCTTCCAAGTTAAACAGTCCAACATGCACACCAAAACTTCATGTAAAGAGATTATTTAAGCACACCGTACTAGTTACTTTTTAAACAACAAGCATGTTCCTACCGAGCAGGGAACATCATTCTGTACGTGAGTGACCAAACAATCCAGCCAACCTAACGCAACCGTTTTCCATAATGAATCAATAGTACGGCCGACAAAGTGTGTATAGGTTAGCAAAAAAACTAAGATGGACAGCCAAATGTTGTTGAACCGCAAATAATTAGTGTTAGTGGCCCTGTATCTGACTAAGGATCGATCGTATCAATGATTGTTATTGAAGTATACACATCGTCCATACTCGTATATAATCATCGACTAAAACCACGTTAGTGAATGGCGGAGTTATGAGTGTGGATTTTGAGTAGGTATATTTTGCACAGGCGTTGGTCGGATCAGACATTCGGAGAGACGTAGAGAAGAGAGCGAAGGAAACTTAATTGACACTCAATGGCGAAGGCACGCTAGCCAACTCAATTTAATCGAAAATTAATCGATATTTACGGTCAGATAAAAATAATTTACAGACATGTGATGAGTAAGATAGTGCAGTCGTAAATAGGTAGTGACTTACTTTTATGACGAGAACACGATCGGTTTAATGAAAACAATCATTATTATAACCAATTGTATTAGTGACTGTTTCGATGTGCTCTTTGTTTAACTGTGCTGAAAACATCCATTAATATTATTGATGGCTTTATTCAATATTATATTTTGGTACAATATAGAATTCTCAGCACTTCGATTGTGACCGCGCGCGACTCCGGTTATGCTCAGTAACCAAGCCTGTATCCCCGGTATTCTTTCGATACCACGAGATCGCCAGCAAATATATCTCGACTTGGTTCATTAACTGCCTTCTGATATTTGGCTTCCAAGGGATTTTATGGATATCCTTGCACGCGTTCCTTTGTAGTGGTGTTCACAGTCAATTTCGACTCGAGTCCACGCTACAAATACATCCTCAAAATAAATAACTCTGTAAGTCTTCGACATTGGATGCTGACCACATTTGCTTTAATGGACTCACTTAGCTGAAGGAGCACCATCATGCATCCGCAAAAGACCACGAGGGAACGCCGTGCTCAACTACCACTGTAATCGCTCACCAGATTAGATCAGACTATCCTCGATATATTGATAGCCTATCAAATATATCTTCGAACTTCCTCGCTTCTGTCTTTTGATTTCACTTGGTGAGCACGATTAGTATTAGGTGTTACTGGTTAAAGCGTTGTCGAACCCCAAATACCTGCGGCATCTTCATTGGTAAGCCCGACGTGATCTGGTACACTAAAATGCAGTCGAACAAAAGTAATTTACAGACATTTGGTGAGTAAGTTAGGAAATGAACACACATAAATTTACATAGAAACAGTCAAAGTTGATAAGCGAATAATTAATGAAGTCAAAGTGTAGCTCGGGACGAATGGATAAACTGGCTTGTCCACAAGATAGAATAAGCTATATAGGATTAACATTACAACCGACCCATATAGTTGAAAACAGAAATCGTAGACAAAAAAGAGTAGTTATGTTCCTATGTAAAGCGGACATAAACATGAAAAGCATAAAAAAGAGATTTATGAGAGTACTTTCGGATTTATGCCAAATGAGGAGTTACGTTCATCTGGAATACATACTTGTAGGTATTTTCGCACACATATAGGTGAGATTATACATGTACTAATGACCCCCAAATATACCAAGATTATGGTAACTAAGTGGCTTAATTAAATTCAAGCAGGCACTAAAAGACACCATCAAACTCTCGGAACCATGTCCATATATCATATCATAGGTGCTTTATAAGCAATTGAATTCATGCTCCTTTGCAGTTATTGAACGTTGCAAGACTTTAAGGTCAAGTCGACTTGAAGGTCAAGTAAACGTAGTATTGGGATTTTTGGCCCTATGCTAGAGTTTCAGTCTTCAGGACACGTAGGTCTTATTTGAGTTGCTTTAATGTTTAGCATATGGGATCTGTCCTCTTAGAAGGTCATATCTCTGATAATGGACAATATACTGGAGACAATTTGACATTACTTGACGAACCAATTCGTGATACAATTGTAAAAATAATTGTATTTATAATGTTCTGAGTAGTTTAGATCAGCCCGCGCTGTTGGTCAAAAGTTTGCTTACGTCCTAGTTCCACGCCAAGGGCAGGGGTTGTTGAAAGAATGTAGATGATTTTCTGATATTAATTCTTTATTTCAGGGGATTTGTGGGGTCCGTTAGTGTTGTGTCTTATCATGTCAGCGTAAGTTTACATATAGACCCATTTACGACTTTTTGCTAACATTTGAAGTAATATGATTTGAATATCCCCGAAGACGTAGTTTATTGAACTCAATGCAATCGAACCGAACCAAAGGTCGCACTTGAAACCCATCTATAAATACAAGCTGGTTGTATAAACACATCAGTAGCAGTTTGTTTTATCGACTTAATTTCAAAGACTAAATTATAGTTTACATAAAGTTAATATCTATGATTTTTACTGAAATCTGTGAACACCATATATTTACACACTGCTTATGTTGAAGTCGAATTCCTCAACGTGTCATAAGCTTTTAGGATAATTATTTCGCAAGGCTGACATAAATTACGTGCTGTAAGCTCTGCGGGTTCGCGTATCTTGGTACTAAATGGTTAAGCATAGGGAACTCTAATATTGTAGTCATCTTCCTCAGTCAACATGCCATTAGGACTGGGATGACCTTGTAAAATAACGCCATATCTTGTTAAGAGCGATTCATAACTGCCACACAAACTTAACATGTCATGGGTTTGACTATCTGTTGTTAGCTCTGCATGATTCAACGTGCATTGAGTTAGAAACTCTGGGTCTACATTCAAAGTCTTCATGCCCTGTGGCTGGGTGGTAGACACGCACTGCTGATGGTCCCTACGCTGGAACAAAACAGCTATCCAGTGCTTCGAGTTCTTCATTGCTGGTCTAGCCATGATCTGTTCCTGATTTAAACTACAAAAAGTCTTTGTTGAATCATAACTCCATCATTCAATGATCGTCATTTTTTACACGATGGACCATTTGTTAAAATCTAAGTTTGTGTTGTCGAAATGTATCATCGGTTTCCATAGTATTTAAACCCGAGGTTTTTCTGCCTACAATCTGACGCTTGACTCTCAGAGACCGTGGCTGGTCTCTGTATGTATATTACACTGGCGGAAAATTTATGTATAGCGGTAAACAAAATGGGAGAAAGCAAAAAGGTGGGACATCTGTCTTTTTGTATATGTACGATTCATACGTCTGCCAGTTCTGTAAGGTATGATCTTCCGGATTAATTAAATAGGATATCCTTTAGGCTTGTTGCTCTTTATTTCCTAGTGATTCAACCCCGGCATGGAAACCTGTGGATCTGAGTGTCACATAAGTATTGACGTCCGTTGAGCTTTATTCTATTCCATTCTTTATATAAATAGATGTTTTTGAGAAAAGCGAGCTGTCAGTTGTGGCCTGCTAAGGACTTGTGAGATCCAAGAGGTTTGTCGACTAATACTTTCACAGGTAATGTTAACAGTTGGTTTTATGTCAGTCGGTCGTACCAAACGCTTGTAGTTTGTTACAGTTGTCTGTAACATTGATTTCTTCTAGCATCACTAGATCATCGCTGCTGAAACCATACGTGTGTTTTTACTTGAGTAAAGTGATCTGTTCCTTGGTGATGAATCTCACTTAACTGAAAGATTATCAAAGAGACTAGACGATAGTTATAGGGCTTGACCTGTTGGTGAATAAACGTAGGTGTAGTTGTAACCATTATTCAACAGTATTCAATAGTATGACTGAAAAAGTAGGTTTTTATGGTATTCTCAATTTTCCATCATATCACTATTTGGCAAACACAACTTTACCCCTCCCTACTTCTTATCCTTTTCTATTAGTTCTGGAAGCTAAGCTTTTCTATCCACTTATCAAAGATCTATTAGTTCATTCAACGCCATGTTTTTTCCTCTAACTGATACATATTGAAGTCATAATGTCTAAGGGATCATATCTTGTTAAAATCTTGAGTGCAAAACCAATCACAATACTTTCGTTTGGAACGCCATTTATTTCTTTTGATTGCTTTTAGGCTCTTGCATAGTAGCTCAAACTCAGAAAGTTCCGGACATGGCGGACCAGAGTTTGCCCAGGTCTTCATTATTTTCTGGCTGGGTTCAGCAGTTGTGACTTTGAATTCTAAATTACTCGGTGGTGCAGTGTAAGTGGTCATTCTTCATTAGGTTGATTGACTTTTAGATTTTTTAGTTGTTTTTGTTTTTGTATTGTTTACCAAGAAACATAGGAGTTCAGTTTGGAAACTTCAATAGTAAATTATAATAGAATAGTTCTATACGAATTATCTTATTTCATTTGTTTATTTATTTAAACACATAAACATTAGTACGACAAGGCACCAAATACATATGCGCCATATCCGGGTGCTCGAATCGAAGCAAGTGTTTTTCTTAGGGGGTCACACCTTGAGCCTTTGACCTACAGGTCCAATCCAAAAGGCAGTGGAGCAACATCAGGAGATTCAGTCCCATAGCAGATGGTGACCAACAATAGGTTCATCCACCTTTTGTCCCCTTCGGATACTGGAGCCCATGTGCACCATTGGTTTGGAGTCAGGGTTTTCCAACTCCCCTAGGTGAACCCTCCGTATCCACCGGATATTCACTTCGTATCCTCTCAATTTCGTAAACAACACTCCCTTCTCGAGAAGGTAGTGAGTAGGACTTCCTTGGCAGTGGCTGTCTACGCATGACCATGTGAGAGCATGTCGAGAAGGAGAGCTGCCTTCCCCCACCCTCGGTCGTACCAGGTTATTAGAGGGATTGAATCAATACAAAGTCGTGCATACTTTTAACTAGTGCAACTCGGTAACCGAGTATGATTTCACTTTGAGTCGTATTTTTGGTAATCAGTGATACTATTAGATTTCTCAAAATGAAACAGATGGTGAGAGTAAAAACCCATAGTCTAACAGCTGGATGTCAAGCTCCGTAACTACTATGTCACTGTTGACTTTTCCTTCGGTTTTTATTGAGTAAAGAAGTTCTTTCTTTTCTCCTTTAATCGAAAACTACTCACTTAAGTGGTAGACTGGATTAATCAGTACTTCTTTTTATATTGTTTACTTTTGGAAGTTGTGTGGATGGTAACTGACCAATAAACAAACATGATTACCTGTTAAAAAAACTAATCTGTTGTTTAATTGGACCATCAGTAATTATCTCGGTGTTGATTACCAATAATCAGAACGTTTTTAAAGTGCTTCATTACTGTTCCTCCCTTAAAGGTTGTAACTTATCAAAAATATCATTTTTTTCCCAAGTGAATGCAAAACCTTGTTAAAGGATATTTTCTAGGGATAATACGGATTCTAGATAACCTAAACTTTTGTATTAAAAACGTAGCTTTAACTTTACTACTGCCGATGTAGGATGACAAAAAAATATACTCAAAGTCTGATGTAATTCATTTTCTGACTAGTACATGAACTTCGTATTTAAAAACAAATATCTTCATTAAAATTATCCCATTGTTTTCTTTTAAAAGGTCATTCCTACAAACCGTATGCGTTTTGGGGTATTGTATTTTGCCTCTTGTTATTGGTTTGGTTATATGTCGATTACTGTTGCTTGCAAGTTCTAATTCTGTGTTTGTTTTTATCATACGATTATTCATTGTTATTTCTGGGTTGGTTTATTCATCTTATGCATCCTTTATTTTTGTCCATCCTGCATTGCCAAAAAATCGTGTTGCTCTATCTGTATATCCAATAGTTTTATTTTATGTATTTCTTTCATGGCTTGTAATATCAGTTGCGTAATTTTTCGAGATTATGATCATCTGATTTTGTAATTTTCTAGTATTGTATACTTCTGTTCAGCAACATCTATTGTGATATTACTGATGAGAAAATATTACTTTGTACATTACTATCTGTTACTAATCTTTTAAAACTTATTCTTATATAACCTGTCTTTTATGGTGTTTTGTGAACTTATAGACCAATCGCTTGTTAAACCCACTCATCGGGTAATCTCTGTTACATTTGTCCGAATACAAATATTTGTTAGTATTTTCTATCTGCGACAAATAGCATTCCCAAAATTTGGAGTTATTGTTTTCAGTGTTTTATTTAAACTCCAAATCGCATTAGTCGTGGTTGGTTTATTGAGTACTTATTATTATTTCGTTAAGACTAAATGTTTGTAAATCAATATAGGCCTTTGGACACCAAGATTCTATATTTCCTCTGCAAGTATATAACTTGTGGGACAGTTTTACTTATGTAATCTAAACCTCTCATTAGCCATCAAAGTCTGTTCGCTCAGGTTGCAGCTGAGTTGACGTACACCCAGATCTTACATGGGTAATAATATCATGCCACGGTTAAAAGTGATGACTGAAATTGTGTGTATTTGTCACCCTGAAGTTTCTCTGAAAAAATAATGAGTATTTCATTGAAAGCATTGAAACCAACGGTCCAGTTTATTTTAATGTCAACACTTAGGTCTCCATCATGACTGATAATCAGAATGTGACATTAATCTCCATCAAACTACTAGTTATTGTATTATTCTGTTATGTAGTTACCCATCTCTTTGAACTCTATGTAATGAGCATTTTTTAGTAATGGTTGCTTGTTCCGTTTATTCCCACGTTAGTTCGGTGGGGCACCTTTGATTATTCAGATAAGTGACTACTGTTTACTTCGTCACTGTTAGATTTTGATAATATTTTCAACTCATTCATTCCAATTAATTAAAAAGTAGTTGTGCTTCTCTCTTAATTAGAAATAACGGGACTCAGTTAATCACTTTATAACTTGCTCTTGAGTTAATGATCACTTTTAAAAAAAGTCAGTCAGTAACAAAGTAGAACTTCGTACGTACGTACATCAGTTCGAGTTGCCATACCACATTAGCACAGAGATGCAGTTGTCGATTCAAATCCCGTAGTGGTAGAGGTAGTAAGAGTATAAGCAGTAATCAGAAAGAGTAGGGTTTGGAGATGTTATTTAAAGAGTATAATCCAGTGAAATAAATTTGGGAAGAGAAAAAATTATATATATATATATATATATATATATATATATTATTTATATAATTGTTTTGATAATTATCGATGGAAAAACCGAATAAACAGTTAGTGTTTTATGACGACGACCAGTCAGTAAGATATCTCAAAAGATAACTGTTACGAAGTGCTAAACCGAACTCAATTCCTATTCTTTTCGTATCTTGGAACGGATTGTGTTTCAAAATGTATGATGCTCAAATGTTCTACCTTTCTGATAGTAACTTAATACATATTAATGATGTATGTTGTTAAACACTTGACACATAATTTTGGTTAAAAATACGGTATTAAAGTCTATCATTGAAAATGCCTAATCGACGGATAGTCTATGTATACCTTGTCAGATTAAGAAAGATCAAGTAACTGGTGTTAGATACAAGTAAGAAAGAAACTTCGTGGTAATTAATCAATAACGTAGGAGCTTTTTAAGAGTTATGATGTATGAAATCAAGAATCAATCATAAATTCATCCAGTGGAATGTTTATTTAGAATTTTTGTGTTAGAAATTGGAAATGCTATGAGTTATGATGATTCGAAAGTACCTTAGTCAAGGTAGGAAGTGACGTTTTCGCTCCATTAAAAGTCAATGTTATATAGAACATTAGCTACCGGTTAGTTGTCTACTTGTGAAGAGAACAACTATGTTAGTTCTCCTTGAGTTTATGCATTGACCTATTCAATAAAACAAGCTCTTGGTAACAATGTGGGTGGAAGTGCTAAGTATCTCAGGATTTTTTCCCGGAGATTACTTGAACAATGTTCGGTAAACAATAAGAACTACACGTTTATTTGATGATACAAGTACTCAAATAAACATAATGTTTCACTGGATAGATGGATTGTTACTAGCAGTGGAGTCTATGACGTTCATTTCGTCCTACTTAGTACTTTTAAATCGAAAGTACGTACATCCTCTTGTTAATGTTCATACTGGAACTTTCGCTTTCAACCCCAATGCATCATTTACTTCGTTGCTAACTCCAGATGGTCACTAACTTGTTTAATTGTTTGGGTACTTACTTTCAGGGTTTTGATTTTGCATCTATCGTCATTAGCCAGTAAGGTATATTATTATTGTTATTATTATTATTAGAAGCTTTATTCAACATTATATTTTTGGTACAACGTAGAATTCTCAGCATAAAGTATTTCAACAAGTTTCTTTTTCTTATATCTTGATCGATTGTGACGATAAATTTTGAATGATGACCAGTTAGATGTTAGGAGTTCGGTAATCCACATTTGAATAATGTTCATTCGTTTTAATGCATATTGCCAGCCACCATGATGTCGCTGATTGTACCTTTTTGTATCCCGTATAGCGAAAGGTTGTAAACTTTTCATAAACGCGCCTGAACAGATTGTAAACACAATAGACATAATGATGTGCTAAAACAAACAACAAAACAGATAACTTGAAGAAATATCTAGATCGGAGGAACAGGTTGCCCAGATATTCAAGCAGGCCGCCAAAACTCCGTCAGTAATCTTAATTATTTTGGTTGTAGAATAGGCGTCATATTAGGTTGCCATCGATTAGAAAAAACAGCTTAAATTTAGGAATATTTCTAATACAATCGGTGAGTATAATAAGAAAGCTACATCGTACCACGGTGAATTTAACTAATATCAAGTGAAACGCTAGAATTTGTGTAAGCAAAATAAAGGGAATAATTATCTAAGATGTTGATGTCACTTGGAGAGTCTCACTAGAGGTCAAAAACAACATTGATGTCTTGTCATTGATAAATATGTTTGATAACTTCATCGCTTCATAAATGTTTGAAGAAAATTATAGGAATACAGTCAACATCCACTGGTTTTCCTCATTTACCCTATAAAACCTCGGCCACATGATTTCATGCTAATTCCTATTTCTTAAAACATTAAAATTAAAGTAGGTTTTTTAAAGTGGTCAGTTATGGTCAAGTTAGTTGTATACTGTTTATACACACGAAACTACGTTAATATTGTGAATGTTGTTTGGTGGTTGGTTGAACTGATAAACAAGATATTCTAAGAAATCTATAGTATTCAAATTATCGTATGAACTAGGAATTCCAGGATTAACGCAATTGAATTAAGAAGACACAGGCACCAACGAATGTATTGTATTTAGAATTCGAAATCGAGCATTCAACAAGTACAAAGGTATCATTAGTTCATTCAAACACCACATCCGCCACAGCTTAAATTGGAGTCTAGGTGTTTGTAATCAATCGTACGTCTTCTTCTCAAATTCATCCTGAGTCTGTCTGACATTGTATTGGATAAGGATTCTGTATTATCTAGAATATGCTCATTAGCATTAGAATTAACAATCGAAATTGGAACTGACTCACCTGGTTCCTGAAATTGTATTTGATCTACATGTCGACTGTGTGTACTTAAGTCATCGATGTCTAGAATTCGCACCATCGATTTTCCGACATTCTTCAGAACAATACCCGTAGATGGTCGAAGATCATTTCCTCGATAGTATGTAACTTCTGCAGACTCCAAACATCTCATATTCGACCGAAGAATTCTTCCTTTCAATAGCTTCGCTGGAGTCTCCTTCGTCACCGAATGTTTGGCATTTCTATATTGCAATAGAAAGGTATCTACTCCCCTCTCCAGCTCATTAAATGTTGAGGGGGCTATAGAATCAATAGCAGTCTTTAATGTCCTAACAAAATTCTCTGCCTGACCATTAGAACACGGATGTCTGGGAGCAGTAAATAGATGTTTGCACCCTATACCGTTCAACCAGGTAGTGACTGCATCTGCAGCAAAATGTGAGCCATTATCAGTCACCAACACCAAGGGAACACCTTCTCGACTAAACACCTTTCTTAATGCTTGTATTGTGAAATCAGAATTTGGTGAAGTTGTGAAAAAAACTTCAGGCCACTTTGAAAAAGAATCAATGACTACTAGTGCGTAGTATTTACCAAGAAATGGTCCACAATAGTCAGCATGAATCCTCTGCCAGGCCTCAGACGATACTGGCCATGGCACCCACTTCGAAGGATGATTTTTCAACTGATGACATTTCTCACAATTGTTTGCCGTACGACATATATCTGCATTTATCTCTGGCCACCAGCATGTGAGCCTTGCCAAGGACTTCATTTTCTCAACACCTAAATGACCACTATGAAGATCTTCAAGAACAGATTTACGCAATGAAGGAGGAATGACAACACGATCATTTAAACACAGAATACCATCAGGAGTAGTAGATAACTCATCCCGCTTTGAAAAATAGATAGGAAATCTACGTTTCAAATTAGCATTCCAACCTTTCCTTATAGCACTGAGTATACATCCAAAATATCTACGAGTTTCTCTAATGAGATCTGAACGTCTCACTGGTAAAGGTTGCACTAACAAACAATCCGAAGTATTAATAGGTTTATCTTGTAATGACTGTCGAGAAATGTAATCAACATGTTGAATCTGTTTGGCACTTCTGTGCTGAACCGTATAGTCATATGCACTCAAAGCAATACTCCATCGCTGAACCATAGCTGCTGAGGAACGTGCTAAGGATTTTTCGGGATGATAAATAAACTTTAAAGCTTCATGATCAGTAACAATAGTGAATTTCTTTCCGAATAAATATTTATGAAGTCTTTTAACAGCCCAAAACACAGCTAATGCTTCTCGCTGAGTCTGTGAATAACCTTGTTCAGTAACAGTAAGTTTGCGTGAAACACAAATAACTGGTCTACCTTCCTGTTCCAAAACTGCACCAATTCCCACAGGTGATGCATCAGTAATAAGCACAGAATGTACATTAGGGGAGTACGTTCGAAGAACAGCATCACTTTGAAGAAACTTCAGCAGACTTCGTAAGCATGACTCTTGTTCCTCACTCCATTTGAATGAATTGGATGTTAAAATATTAAATAAACAATTTGCACGACAAGAAAAATTAGGAATAAAACGGGAATAGTATTGAAGAGCACCCACTAGTGAACGTAATTCTGTAAGATTTTTCGGAGACGGTGCATTAGTCAGTGGAGCTAGTCGTTTCATATCTGGTCTAAAACCATTACCATCAACTAGGTATCCAAGGCATTCAAAACTAGATACACAAAATGAACACTTATTTGGATTCACTGTAATATTCTTCTCAATTAAACGACGCAATAAAGCAATAAGTCTCTGGTCATGAACTACCTTATTAGAGCCATGAACAATGAGATCATCTTGATAAACTTCAACACCTTCAAGATCACTAACTACTTTATTCATAACTTCCTGAAATATGGCTGGAGAACAACTTAGACCAAATGGAAGGAAATTGTATTTGAACAGACCAAAAGGAGTGTTAATTGTCGTCAAAATAGATGAAGATTCATCTAAAGGAATTTGAAGATAAGCATCTTTTAGGTCAACTTTCGAGAACACTTTAGAACCATGAAGTCGATTTAGAATATCTTCAGCTTCTACCGTCGTGCACGTTTGCTTCAACAAACGGGAATTCAGAGTTAATCTATAGTCACCACAAATTCTAGGGGTCTTGCCGTCCGACTTCAGTGGCGTAACGATAGGAGTACCCCATGCTGAAGACTGAATTGGTTCAATTATGCCTTTCACACACAAATCGTTTAATGTCTTATGTACTGCTTCTCGAAGACCATAAGGAATTATTCGTCTTTTAAGAAAGACGGGATCACCCTGTACTTGAAGTTTTATAGGCTTAATTTTCATACCTCCACTGCACTTAGCACACATAGCTATCAAATCTTTAAGTAAAGTATCAGAATTTTCTTTAGAAACTAAGAAGGACAACTCCACCTTAAGCCTTTTCAAATTCTTTAAACCCAATATTGACAGTCCTGTTTCGCTAACTAAAAATTCACAAGGTATGTATGAAGAATTATCATCTCTGATTAGCAATTCACAACATCCTCGTATGGGCAGTCTGTGTCCAGTAATCCCCAGTATTGATACTTCAGTGGGTCGTACAACAACGTTAGGATCTAAAGCTTTCAAGTTCTTGAATGAAATAATGGACTCTATACTGCCTGTGTCCAGAATAAAGTCATGAAATGAACCAAGCGATGTATATAGTCGCTTCTGAATATGAGCATTACCTTTCGAAATAGTGGACAAAGATAAATGATCACTAGAAACATCCGAATTATTGAAATTTAAATTACAAGATTTAGTACAGCTCGAAGCAAAATGGACAGTAGCTTTGCATACTGACTGAATGTGTCCTACCTTACCACATTTAAAACATTTAGCATTACGAAATACACATGAATTGCGAGCATGAAACTTTCCACATGATAAACATTTACCAAACTTCATCTCACCTTTGTGATTTGCTTTGTAATTCCTCGTTGAAACACCTTTCATATTTACACGAGAATAGGAATCACTGTTAAATGAACGCAAGTTTGATTGACCCTGAGATTGTAGTTCATCACGACGACTAAGCAAAGTATTAGAAATCTTCATCGACTGGATATCAAGTTCATTGACTGCTTCGTAGTTAATACATGCAGTTCTAGCATCTTGAAAGGAACAGTTTGGCATTCTTAACAGCTCTCTTTCCAAACTCGGTATGTTAATTCCTGCAATTAATCGATCTCTCAGTTGCACATGAAGTTGATCACCGAAATTACACTTGGCAGCTTGTTTCTGTAATTCAAGGATGAATTCCCGAGCCTTTTGGTCATTTTGACGAACCATCTTATGAAACTTCGCCCTTTCACGGCATTCAAAACTGGTGCATTTTACATGACTTAACAATAGCTCTTTAAGAGTTGCATAAGGGAGTGAGATAGGTTTTTCTGGATATGCCAAAGTTTTTAATAAGCTGTACGCTTCTCTCCCAATGAATGTCAGAAAATGTGCCACAATTTTTTCACCTTTAACGTCTTTCTTGGTCATGCTCCAAATTTCGAACCTTTCCAAATAATCCTCAATAGCTTCAGGAGTTGAATGAATATCCAACTTTTCCATTGCAGGCTCCATCGCGACGCCAATATAGTATTCAAATTATCGTATGAACTAGGAATTCCAGGATTAACGCAATTGAATTAAGAAGACACAGGCACCAACGAATGTATTGTATTTAGAATTTGAAATCGAGCATTCAACCAGTACAAAGGTATCATTAGTCCATTCAAACACCACAAAATCACTTAGAACCTCGTGTATTTTACGTTGTGGTAACTGAGTGTTTACTGTTGAAGGCCACTAACCATCCCACTTAGAGCTTAACTACATCATGTGATGAATACATACTCCAACACATATCATGGGAATTAAGACAGATATTTGAGTTTTGCAATGCATTCACTAAGTGTAAATTTTTGCCGAAACAAGAATGTTGATAGATTACTTATTAGTACTCACTATAGTTTCCGGAAAATACAAAAAGTATAATTCAATAAACCAAATATATGAAATGTGGTATTTAAGATCGATGTGCAAATACAGACCTATTTATTTTCAAATATAAACCCAGTGTTATATTCAACCATTAAGAAAAATTGTTATGAGAAATGGGTGAGGAGTACACCGAATGACCAATAATTTCACTAAATATCATACTCTCCAATGTTTAACTTCTCTACTGACGATAGTTTGGATCAGCTTGACTTAAAAATGAATGGGCCACTTTTGCGAAGTGGCTATCTTAGTTACCATTAGAACTGAACCTTACTTAAGTTAGCTGTTACCCGTCAACATCGACCAGGAATCCTCAACTGACTCTATACTGGGTTTTCCCTTCGAGTTGTTGCTAGGTACTATCCATTCTCTAGATGATTACCTCCAGTTCCCGGCGGCATATGTTCTTCGGTTCACGTTTCTTCTTTTTGCTTTGAGGATTCCAAGTTGGGACATGCCTTTTGATGCCTAAACTTATTCTAACCGGCTGAATTGATGAACATCTACGAGTAAATAGACTTCATGTACGAATGATTAGACATCACCACTGCAATTACACTCCACAGTGATCATCATGGAAATTAAGAGCTAACCTTTCAACCTTTTTGGATTCAAAGTTTACTTTTCTATGGAGCGATCAATTAATTTTGAGATACACTTTTCATCTGGCTAACTTTGATGAAGACAAGATATAAATCTCACCTCTTCATAACAGTTATTATTATCTATAACTAGAATGTTCTTGTTTGTAATATAGTAGTATACGCATAAAGAAGACGTTTTCTAACGGATGATAAGTAAATTAGTAGCACAATGAGACATGTTATCTATTCTTCGTAGTACCAAAGAATTCATTATAATGAGATTAGATACTCTTTTAATTATGGCCAATGACCGGATACTATAGTCTCCTACAATATCGATGGAGAATTGTTGATCTCTCTGGTTGTAATGTTGAACAGCTGTCAATTACCTTAGTTGGACTGTTCTCTATGTCAATCAAATGGACAATGAAGATAAGGAGAAAGTACTAACTGTCAGGTATATGAAAACGATTTTTAAGGCGATTACTAATTTTATTTTTTAGTTCCTAGTCTTGTCAGTGGATGATTACAGTAGGCGAACATTTTTTTTCTAATATATCTTCTCTTCAGCATATAACCTACTTATTGTGTTAAGTAATTTCTTAGGCGTTTCTATTATTCATTCATAAACAAATAATCTTCCTTAGGAACAGAAATATTTAATTTTTGAGGATGATGATGACGATAATAATATCACTGCTTCATTTGAACCTTTTTAAGAAAATATACTAGTTTGAATTTTAGTTAAAAATGGAAACTTAAATTTAACGACATGTTTGTTATAACATTTTAATATCTTCGGTTGATTTTATTGGTGAAATGTCTTTTCTTTTGATATTATATAATGTGTATTGTCTTTTACTCTTATTTCTAGTTTCAAAATGTTTATTACTGATTTACATTATGGTTGAAATTTTCTTTTTTTTTAGTACTTTAGTAATCATGATCACTGGTGTTTGTTATATAAAATTCACAATTTATAACAGATTAATATTAAGTGCTCACGCGCGAAACCTGTAGGTTCTGGGTTTGAATCCCGCAGGGATTGATGTCGTGGATGTGCACTGCTGAGGAGTCCCACAATAGGACGAAACGGCCGTCCAGTACTTCCAGGTTTTCCATGGTGGTCTAGCTTCAAATGATTCATGATCTTAACCATTGAGATTAATATTTCTTAAAATAAGTTGTCTCACTAATTGCATAAATTTCATTAATCACTTAACTTCAATTTGAATCGAACAAAAGTGATTTTTGGCTTTTGCTATTTTGTTGTTTGTCAAAGTTAATATACTATCAAATTTAGTCTACTAATATAATATAATACTTATATAAGTAATTAACCAATCAAATTAGAGTTAGAAGTTGTTTGTATGGTGAATTGAGTATAGATGACCTTCACTTTGTGCAGAGTTATGATTGTTTTTATTACATAAAATGCACACATAATAATGTGACTAATAAAAGTATGTAAAAAATACAATGAGACTGGTAAAAAATAAAATAGTTAAGTGAATTTATTTGTAAAGAATTGAGTTGTTATACAATTTTATTAATTCAGTTCAATTGAAGAATTTCTTATAATTTCTAAATGAGATTTTGGATTATTATTATTTCTATAAAGTAAACTATGCCTTTGATATATAATAATATTATGATTAAAGAAAGAATATAATATTACCTACCTATCAAAAAGAATAAATCAATCAATAATATGTCAATTGATAATTTAAAGAAATTTTACAAAGTTATGATTTTGAAAATTCCGGTGATTTAAACAAAATAGAATGGATAAAATTATGCTCTAATTCAACAATTAATATATCTAGTGAATTATCATTAACATTATTCAATGAACTTGATACAGATAATGATGGATTAATTAAAATATCAGATATATTACAAGAATTAGAAATATGGAAAGCATCAAATCAATCAAATTGTAATTTGAATCATTTTGATAAAATTGATAATAATCAATATGGGAATGAATGTAAAAATGAGGAATTAATATTAGAACAAGGTAATGGTGTTTTTGATAAACATCAAACAGATCAATTATCAAGAATAATATCCAGATCGAATATAAAAAACAAGTAGGAACATTTTATTTTAATGAGTTGAATTTTAATGGTTTTTAACTTCTTTTCCTCTTTCTTTTCTTCCTCTTCAAGATCCAGTTATCTTAGAAAGACGTAAAAAAAGATATCCAATAATTCCATCGGAAATAATCATACCAAATGAAGGAAGCGATCAATGGATGCCTAAAAAGGAAATTAATCCAGATGGATCAGAAGTTTTTACAACTACACCTATAGTCAAAACTCCAAGGTATGTAATCCAATATAATTTAATCTGAATATACATATTGACTTTGTAAAATGTAAGTATTTCTAGATTATTCACTGATAGACACTTTATATTTAGTGCTTGACGGTTAACATATAGATTAAATTTCACTTGATTTTACTGTCTTAAGTGTGCTTTTTTATGTTTGAATTTGATGTTACAATAGTATGTCAACATAAAGTGTAAATACTTGAGAACCTTAAGTTCGATAGATTAAGAAACTTCTGCATGGTTCATTATTCAGACGAAGCACTACAACATTGACATTGATCTCTTTCAGCTATAACTGCTTACTCTATCTACAAAATCAGATAAGTTGCATGGATGAGACAGTGATTACTTCTCAAAGATAAACGATAACCTTTACTGTCAAATAATTTTTTTTCCGTACAAACATTCTTTTTTTTGCGCTAAACCGATGATTTACGCGTTAACTTTAAGTTTAACATTTTAAATATTGGTTTACTGTAATTGTACCAAAATTTATTTAATATATTGGTTCACTGATTTCTGTGTGACTGCTTCTAAACATTTTGTAAAGAAATGGAATGCAGCTCTTTCGAAGACAGGTAATAAGGAGGGATCAAAAGATAGATTAATGGTTAATTACGTATAATAATCGCTCTGTTAACGGTCTATTATATTTTAGCAAATTCTTTTCTTATTTGGTTTTTAATTTCTTGAATCTCCCCTTTCTTGATATTAAGGACTAAATTTTGATCAGTCTTTCTTGACATGTGTGTACCCTGAGCGAATCGACTTGATATTGCCTTTAAGTCACAAGTATTTTGAGTCGATGAATAGTGGCTAGCAGTGGAATCCAGGACACGCGTCTCATCTTCTGTTGCATCAGCTGGTGGCTATCCGGAGTCAGTTGTTCAGTGGATAACACATTGGCGTTTGAAGCATAAGGCAATGGATTCGATTCTTGGAGATGCATCCAACCGATGGGTCTCAAATAAGATGAAGCTCATGTTCTAGATTCCACTGCTAGCCACTATCTATCTTTCCTTACAGTTCTTTTTTAATCCAACATACAACACATTCGAAATCAGATTAGATTTCTTGGTGGGAAATATAACAATGAGTGTTAAGTATAACTTGAGTTATTAATGAAACACTTGTAAATATGTGCCTTAGTTTATTGATAATATAGTGATCTATACGTATAAATCTTTTTATCACATAGTATTATTGAGTTTGATGAAACTTTAAGTAAAATTCTAGTCTATAATTTTCAAAATACAATTGACAATGTGATGTATATTGTTACAACCCGTATATACCATATCGCAGTTAAAATGATTTTTAAAAAAAATATACCATCATTATGTTTACTATTTACATAAGAATTCGCATTTTAAAGTCATTTTCTTAATTGTCAAGCTCATATTACCGAATTGTAAGTCTATAGATATTAAATCATAAATAACAATATAATCCAGTCGTCTTTATTAGAAAAAAAATTGCAGTTGTAATTATTTTTCCTTTCACAGTTTACATCACAGATTGATCTTAATTTGACAACCACTGAAAACTAGAAACCACTGGACAACTGTTTCGTCCCAGCATGATACTTCAATAGTGCACATTCTTAACCTAGTTGGCGAAGAAACCTGGTAAACCTGCAGTAAACTCTTAACCTTTAGTCAGTTCACTTGGCATTCAATAATTTACATGTCTAACTTCAATAGGTCTTGAATATTATTTTAAATTCTTGTCAAAATAAATTAGATGTGGTTTAGTGTTATCGATATTACTTAATTGATTACTAGTTATTGATCTTCATCTTCATAATTGTAGTATATATATATATATAAAGGGACATTCAAATAATCAGTCAATCGATCAATCAATTAATCAATCATTCAGTTGAATTTTGATTAAATCTCATTAAGAGTGTAATAACAATTTTGGGTGTATGTATGCATGTAAATACATGTAATTAGTTCACCATCTCAACCTATGTGACTTTTAATTAATTAAGCTTATTCATTTTCTATATTTCGGTTTAGATGAATAAATAAATCGTAGATATCGGACAAATACTAATTAGTCCAAAAATAATTCAACTTCAGTGAAAAAACAACTTAGAAGTGCAGTTACTTTTATTACTACTTACTATAAAGCATTAGCGTTGAAGATAATCTTGAACACGTTTTACTAAGTGTACAGATCAATCTAAGTTTGTTCTGTTGAGTTATGATGAAAAGAAAATCAATTTCTGCACATACAGTCGTGGATTCAATCATGTTGTACTTGATATGTTAGTTTATCTAAACACCGACTTCATTAATATGACTATTTAAACAAGCTCACTAGTATAGAAATATATGTATAGTAGATTTTTGATATATAAGATCATTTTGGGGAACACGGTGGGTGGAAAACTATTGGATCTTTATCGCGTTAATGGCAATATATTTCCTTAGAATAGAATCTTGATAAACGTTAAACTATTTTTTTGGTTTAAAATAGCTATTTAAACGATGTTATTTTATGATTAAAATCTTCCTAGAGTAGTACGCTTCATTAAAACCACTGAGTTGATAAGTACAATATTTGTCAACGATTCATTTATGTACATTTCCAGATTGAATAACCGAAAGAATTCAGTGATCCAGGATATATATATATATATATATATATATATATATATATATATATATATTGCATTGAAATATAGAGATATATCACACAGAGGAAGTATTAGACTTTTCTTGGTCGGAATTCTAACATGACCAATCACATTTATCCACCTTATTTTTGACGACAATAATTTAGCTGAGAATTTTAAATATGATCTTACTGAAAGATGAAGATAAATTATTGACCAAACAAATATTTCTCACTTACCATCTCCATGCTTATATACAAGGCTTTTAGGCACAATTTTTTATATAAAGGTTTGATGAAGTAGACGCAATGAATTATGAATCTATGATTTTATGGTTAAAATCCGAGTATTTTAACCATGAAACTACTACTACATCCTCCAAACTTTCGGTTTACTAATCAAATTTCCTATATGAACTGTTGATATTATTGGCATTACTATTAATCATAGTTTTACAAACTGAAGCGATGTGACACTATTTATTTTTAGAATCTTAGGTTTCAAAAATCATCAAAATTTATTTTATAAAGCAAAAAAAACAGAAAGAAATTGGTATTAGTCGTGGTGAAAATGGCTTTAATTATGGTACATATTAATGTTTCAGATTTTCGGTATGTTTTTGTAAATTGTTTATGTAACTTATTAAATCATTACAAATACCTTTAATTTTCTTGAACACATGACAGTATATATGATGAAGTAATTTATGTAACAAAAAGATAACATATGATTTGATCATTTATAATAAATGAAAGAAAGGTGTAGTAAAGTTAAAATACAGATTTCAATTATAAATACTCACTTATTTAATATGATTTTCTTTTAAGGGGTTGAAGTAATTCTAAACACATTCAACTTAAACTATTCAATATACAAAGATGATTGCATTTATGCTTTTTTTTTTAATTAGCAAACATACTTAGTGTATTATAGTGTGTATCTGATGAAATGTGCATTCCATATCCTATTTCTGGTTATAATTCCAAGAAAGTATTTTTACTTTATTGACTGATCATAAGAATCAATAAATAAATACTGTATCTCTACTCCAATCTTTCATTTGATTTCATTTTTTCAATGTTGTGTTACATTAATTTATGTAGGATTACCATATATAGTGTTTATTTTACACGCTCGTTTAAGAAAGAAAAATGTATTTCTACTTACATTATAGTGTAAGATTTTTTGTTGTTGATAATTTCTACCTTTCTCTATCATTCGGTGATGTTTGTATTTTTGGTTTGAATTTAATTTTTCGCTGAAATGATATAAAGTTAGGCATATTGTATCTTATATAGATATTAACAATTGAATGTATTCTTGATTCACTCACGCATCAATAATCTTCATTTCAATTAAATATAGTCTGTCTTAAATATTATCATGTCCTATAAAGGCATCCTTTTTTAATAGTAGTGTTTTCATTTTTTTTGTTTAAAACAGTTGGACTATAATTTACTGGGTGTTGTTTTACTTGTATCTTCCCGTTGTTATTTAGGACTGCAATTGATTAGTCTCTTGTTGGCATATTTGCATACTGTGCGGGTTGCCTCGATATAGCCTCATGTCACAAGCTTTTTAAGCAAAAACAGATAATAGCTAGCGGTGGGATCCAGGACGCGCGTTTAGTTTTATTTGGGACTTGTCAGCTGGATGTGGCTGAATACTAAGTTTGATGTTCACCTGGGGACTCGAACTCAGCACCGTTTGCTTCAAACGCCATCGCGTTATCCACTTAGCAACTAAGACTTGATGGCTACCTACTTGTGCAATGGAGTGAAGTTTTAAATTCACTAGTTGTTTACGCGCAGGATGCACATTTGCCAACAAGGGACTGATCAATTACAGTCCTAAATAACAGTGAGAAGATATAAGTAAAACAAAATTAGGTGAATTCAAAACTTCACTCCATTCCACAAGCAAGTGGCTATCAGGACTCAGTAGCTAAGTGGATAACGTGGTGGCATTTGAAGCAAGCGGTACTTTGTTCGAGTTTAGGAGTGAACATCAACCCTGGTATTCCGCTACATCCATCTGACGAGTCCCAAATAGGATGAGACGCGCGTCTTGGATTCCACTGCTAGCCATCATTCATCTTCGCTTAAAATAGTTGGACTGTAATGTTTTGGTGACTTTGCATACATTTCTATATAGAAATGAATATTTAAAATACAAAGATGAAAAAAACACAATTAAGTTGATCAAAACAATGTATAAACTATTTTTATGATATTTATTTAACAAAAGAATAGATTAATGACTGAATTATTTTCCAATGTCTACTTTAATCATAGCTTTGTCTTGATTTTCTATACAATGTTATTATAATATAGTTAGTGATTATGAATAAATAGTGTGAAGAGAA